GCATATTTACAACTGGACACCTAAGCACCAAGAAAAGCTTTTGTTTTGGTATAGTCAGGTTTCAAATATAGCAGAAACAATACCTCTAGTGTGGATGTAACGGTGTAAAAATCACGCAATGGAAGTGTGACATTGGGTTTTACACCGTGTCAATGTTACATCCACACAACCAAGCTATCATTTCTGCTCCATTTGATACCTGACTACCGTAACAAAATTTTTTTTTATTGTGTTGCATGTATAGTAAGAAGTTAGCAAAGTGAATTTGTGTGATGTTTCGCAGAAATTTAAAAAAAAGGTACAAATGTCATATTTGGACGTAACACTTACATGGTGTCAATGTTACATCCAAAATGACATTTTTTTGCTCATATTTTTGGCCAAATACATTGAAATGATTTCAAACTTTCTGCAGTCGTGAAACACCCAACAACAAATATTATGTAGAGCAACTGCTAGCAAGGCATTTATGCTTTTGTTAATATGGTCATATGTCACACATTGTTCCCCAACCCGCCGGAATGAGCCTTTTGCAAAAGTTTGAATGTAGACCGCTTGTTACTGCCTTCACATAGCTGCGCTCTTTCTTCCTGCAGCAACAGATTAGGACAGTAGTGAGCCAGGAGGGTCTAGAATGTCCATGGACTGGTTTTTGTGGTACTAATTCGTTAGTTTTCAGCCTGTCCCTAAAAATACTCCAATTTGCCTCAACTGTTCTGGTTTCTGGAGATGACTGCATGAATTCGGTCTTAAGCTCGAGGACAGATTTTTTTCAGCTTGGATTCATCCACATCATTCCACTTAAAGATGGTCCTAGGGGGCTTGACAGAGCGAGGTGCAGTGATGTTTATGTCAGCTAGCACTGTTGCGTGATCGCTAATTCTGGAGATGCTGTAAACATTACAAACCAGAGTTTTACGTGTGGTGAAGAGCAAATCTAAAGCCCTGTCCGCACTGGACTTTTTTTGGTCAAACTAACCGAGACTATGGGTACTTTTCCCATTTTAAGTCCAGTGCGGACAGCCTAGGACGTTTTCCTCTCGGTTACTTTTCCTGAGTCCAGCGGTTACTTTTACTGGCCAACTGCTGCCCAGGAAAACTTCCCACGCGCCCAGGAAAACTGACCATGTCACTTTTCCCGAGACGATAAGTCCAGTGCGGACAGTGCGAGTCGGTAAAAGCGGCTCAGGAAAGCGTACATCAGACAGAGACCGCACGAACCTACACGTGCAGTGGCGGAACATTTTGTAGAAACACGCTGCGGTGTATCATCAAGTCCGAGCGGTAAAATCTCGTTAAAATATATATTTCAACGGACAAATACATACACAGAGAAGAGAGATCATGTTCTGAGAATTAATTTGCGGAAACTATCTCTCTCTCTACCGATGTATGTTATTTTCTACGATCCAAATTCGTCCTGATACGATGCACGGAACATCATGGTCCGGTACCGTACGTAGGCCGTAGTCACTGGTTCCTGGCCCACATCATAGCTTCGATTCTGTAAGCATGCGATGGGAACCAACGAATACTGATGGCACTGCTGCCGCACGGAACATCGTACAGCGGCATGGCTTCGACGACGTGCATCACAAATGCGTCAGAATTATAGGCCTTTTCGTCAAGATTTAGCGTGTCAAGATGAAATTATATCGTGTAAACGATTATGTTGTGCATGCAAATGGCGTGTGTAATATTATTGTGCGTATCGGCGGCTGAAAATGTGATCGGCAATTTTTTTTCTGTGTACGGTGAGTCATTATACTGACACTGTGACAGCTCGGTTACTTCTCCCACGCGGTCTGGGTAAATTTTCCCGTGTCGAAAGTCCGAGTGCGGACAGTGGTCACATTTTACCATTTCTCATTTTACCATCGTCTCGGTAAAACCTTCCAAAAAAAAGTCCAGTGCGGACACGGCTTAAGATGTTATCTGTTCCTGTAACTGGGTCTCTCCTTGTAGTAAAATTTGCCTTTTGTTGGAGATTGTAGTCATCTGCGATGTTGATAATTTTGGATTGAATACCGTTTGCCGAGAAAGTACATGTACAAGTTCTTGAGTTCCAAAGCATGCCCGGGATGTTGAAGTCTCCTCCAAGAATGATGAATGGGGAGTTTACCTGAGCCTGCAATTTACTCAGACTTCTGTCTAGGTTTTCTAGAGATTCTGGCCTGTAGGAGTCGGGGGCTCTATAATATGCAGAGATGAAGATGTCCTCTCCTTTCGGCTTGAGCGGTAGTTGGCACCAGAGTAATTCACAACCATCTTCAGAAAGTTCAATGGCTGAGAAACCATCCTTAACCAAGATAAAGACACCTCCGCCACGTCTGTCGTTTCCTCTGTCCTTGAACCTTCGTTCAACTGTCAAACTTGTGAATTTCTGATGAATGAATGCAAAGTTTACAAAGCCATTCATATCTTAAAACATTCATTCTTTTATAAAGCCCTGTACGCACTGGACTTTTTTGGTCAAACTTACCGAGACTATGGGTACTTTTCCCATTTTAAGTCCAATGCGGACAGCCTAGGACGTTTTCCTCTCGGTTACTTTTCCTGAGTCCAGCGGTTACTTTTACTGGCCAACTGCTGCCCAGGAAAACTGACCATGCGCCCAGGAAAATTGACCAGGTCACTTTTCCTGAGACGATAAGTCCAGTGCGGACAGTGCGAGTCGGTAAAAGCGGCTCAGGAAAGTGAGATCCGGCCCGAGCGCTAGTATCATGCATACAGAGACCACACGATCCCACACGTGATGTGGCCGAAAATTTTGTGGAAACACGTACCGGTACGCTGCGGTGTGTCAAGTCCGAGCGGTAAAATCTCGTTATAAATATATTTTAACGGAGAATACATTCACAGAAAATATCAAGATCACGTTCTGGGAAATACTTTGCAGTTATTCTTTTTTTCCACCAATGTTTGTTTTGTATTTTCTACGATCCAAATTCGTCCTGTTACGCCGTGTAGTCTGCATGGCACCGTACATGTACGTAGGCCGCAGTCCCTGGTTCCGGTCCTACATCATAGCTTTGATTCTGTTAGCATGCGGTGGGAACCAGCGATTACCGATGGAACTGCTGCCGCATGGCTTCGATGTCGTCCATCACAAATGCGTCAGAATAGTAGGCATTTTGGTCAAGATTTATCGTGTCAAGATGAAATAACATCGTATGTTACGATTATATTGTGCATTTTAATGGTGTGTGTAATATTATACTGTGCGTATCGGGGGCTGAAAAAATCAGCATTTTATTTCCTGTGCACGTGACTGTGACAGCTCGGTCACTTCTCCCACGCGGTCTGGGTAAAATTTCCCGTGTCGAAAGTCCAAGTGCGGACAGTGGTCACATTTGACCATTTCTCATTTTACCATCGTCTCGGTAAAACCTTCCAAAAAAAAGTCCAGTGCGGACACGGCTTAAGATGGAATTTTGCGTCGGGGTGATGTAAATCAAATTGGGTTTTGCCCTTCACCGACTATCCATCTTATGAATAGTTAATGCAGTACCCGCTGCTATGTACATCAGATTTGAACCAACCAGCTCGGTGGTCGAGTGGTAAGATGTCTGCACTAGAAAGCAGGAGGTTGTGGGTTTGAGTCCCACCCGAGTGATTTTTTTCCAACTTTCACTCAGGAGGTACCACACTGAGTATACAGTGTTTATACGTTGGTGCAGGGCGAAACCTAATTTGATTCATTCTTTTGTTGATTAATACAAAGCCCATTAAAAAAGGCAAATAAAAATATCAAAATATTATGAGGCATCAATAAAGTATCAAGTATCAGAAAAGCATACTAGTTCAAATACCAGAATGGTGATAGTACATAGCATTATTTGTGCTTGGCAGTTTTGAATTACGCACACAAAAACAGCAGCTTGTAGAAATTGGTCATTTTTGGGAACCGTCCAAATTAAGATATTTATATATAGGTTTATCTCTAACTTTACAAAGAGATTCATATTTTAAAGCATTAATTTTTTTTCAGGTACTGTGTACAATTGTTGTACATCTATATTAACAGTATTCAACTTTGGGATGTTTCTTATTCAAAATTTGCAATTCATTGATCTGTTTGTCAGTGTGAACTGATTTTGTTGTGCAGTGTCTCACTTGAAAACTCATAATTAAACTTACAAATATCTCATGCTTAAAAAAAATCAAAGTAAATTTATTTTCTCTGATTGGAGTTGGTTTTTTAATTTGTTTGTTTTTGTCCATCAGGTCTTGACCCACAAGATAACCATTCCACCAGCACCTCTGACGTACCGGTGACTGGCGCTGCCATAACGGATCCTTATCACTATCGGACACAACAGCACTTCACCTCAGAGATCTTCAAGATTGAGATCCAAAACCTCCCAAGACATTTTGGATTTGTGGTGAGTTTGCTCTCTAAGCATTCAACTCTCGATAATGATAATACAGTTTGTGCTCTATTAAGAGTTCACGATGTTCTCCATGGTGAAGATTTCTCAGGGTCTTTATGTAATTTTGTATAACAGAATTTAAAGGCAATTGGATGAATTTCACTAAAACCTGGAAATATCCTAGCCTCATGTCTATATAAAAGTAATGGTAAACTGCATGTAGAAAGTTTTGATGGTGGGTGATATTGGTTGGTGTGAGTGAGAGCTCCCTCTTGCGGGGGTTATCGCTGCGGGGGTTATCGCGTATCAAACCATAATAACGTCTAGCCCCTAGACTAGGGCTGTCTGATGAGATAGGCATTGGTGTCTGTGGTTATCACTTATTGCACTGTTGGTAAAAACCTAGCCTATTCTATGGCCGCACACTGGAGTAATCTCTGTGCTAAGGGCCATACAAATGTGAGCACAGCAAGTTGGTAAAATGATGCATTTTTTTCATGGAAGTATTTTGGCCTGATATTTGGCATAGGGGTTCTTTTTACCCAAGCGTCCCACTTTGTGCCGAAACCTCATATGGTTCAATACTTTGAGGTGTCCACTGGAACGTAAATTGTCAAACAATTGGCCATGCACAGCGGCCAATTCAAGATCAACACACAGTCTGGCCTGTATGACTTCACAGACTTTTGTGTGTGTGCAAAAGCAGAATGTTACCCGGAGGTGAGTGGAGGCAATTTTGACCTTTTAACCCTAGAAAATCCATCAGCCCTGCCTGTGCATAAAAACAGCCAGTGCGTCTTATCACGTCCTCTGATGCAAACTGGTTAAGATGTTACTTTTTATTGTCAAAAGAAGTCAATTTGGTATCTTTATTTTTTGTTGGTATTCAGGAAGACATCAGTTCCCAGCTCAACAGCTCCACCAGTGATCTTCCTGACCTCACCAGACAGTTTTTTTGTGGTCTGTTTCAAGTCGATCATTAGGCTCTGTGAATGACTGCTGAATCTACGAGGTATGTAAATGAAATCTGAGGTGGGATATTAGAGGTGAAAATGAACAATTTTTGAGAGGCCATTTTTTTAGGGTCTCTTGCTACCACACTCCAGCGATACATGTGAATGAATATTATGAGCATGTCAGCTGGAGTTACTCCAGCTAAATTCTAGGGGTAATTGGCAATGACATAGTCCTATGATGTAACTTAGCTTGAGTAACTTCAGCTCTAATGCCTATCGCATTAGAGCTGGAGTCGATTGTCAGACAAGTCGACCGTTGAGACAACTCGACTCGGGACAGGTCGACCGTTGAGACAGCTCGACACAATGGAAATGTATACATGTGGAGCGGAAAAAGTTGCATAAATCTGTGGCAGGACCAGTCCCGGGCACGGCACGGGCATACTCGATGCACAGAGGCACGCTCCGAGCCGGTGGCCGTCGCGTTGGGCCGGCGCGCCCCGCCTGCGTGGACCGGGCCCGGCACGTCGATTCTCGAGAAACCATGAGAAAACGTCGCGCGACACTATTCTGCCGACTGCCGTTGACCCTCCAAATGATTGGCAAATAAAAACATCAGATTTACCTCAAAACAGCCTCCAAATTACTAGATACGCCACCCGAGGTACAAGGAGAGATCGATGATTAAAATCGAGGTACTAAAGTTTGCTTACGAGTCGGATGAAAAGTGAAATTTCCTGTTCAATTCCGAGAGCTCCCCTTGCGATCTATCGTTAAATTTCCGACTCTTGTTTGAACAACGCGATGTAACCGTACGTGCCCAGCATTCATTCAGTGGTCCCAGCGCGATTCTGTTAGCGAGCGCGATACATCGATTATGATAATGGCAGACTGGATCTCGTTTGTACAGACAAGTGCATTCGAACTGAGATACGGAGTCGGGAACTAGAGCAGCTATCAGCGGAAGCCAGTTCAAGCTAGTTCCCGACTCCATATCATCGTTCGGAATGCACTTGTACAAACGAGATCCAGTCTACTCATTATCATAATCGATGCATTGCGCTCGTTACCGGAATCGCGCTGAGACCACTGAATGAATGCTGGGACGTACGGTTACATTGCGTCGTTCAAACAAGAGTCGGAAATTTAACGATCGATCGCGAGGGGAGCTCTCAGAATTGAACGGGAAATGTCACTTTTCATCCGACTCGTCAGCAAACTTCAGCACCTTGATTTTAATCATCGATCTCTCCTTGTACCTCAGGTGGCGTATCTAGTAATTTGGAGGCTGTTTTGAGGTAAATCTGATGTTTTTATTTGCCAATGTTGTGTTATTTTTTGGTCAACGCCAGTCGGCAGAATAGTGTCGCTCGACGTTTTCTCATGGTTTCTCGAGAATCGCCACCAAAATCGTCGAAAAAGTTCATATTTTAGTCTTCATTGTTCTGTTTGAAGTCGATTACTAGCTTCGTGAATGTCTGTTGCATCGTATGAGGTATGAATTATGGAATCTGGGTCGGGATAATATCTAGGGAAAATGGACCGGTTTTGTAATGTACTGGGGATACAGAGTCCGAAATTTCGGGACTCTTACGACCTGGTGCTTTTAACGTAGTTGTGACTCCAGATCTAATGCAATAGGCATTAGAGCTGGAGTTACTCAAGCTACAGGTAACTAGTGGACAAGGCCTACCTCCGTATTAACTGTCACAAATCCGCAAGCTTATTGATTGGGTTTTTATATCCTAGAGTTTAAAAGTGCTACAGACAAAACTTCATTCGAAAGTTGGTCCTGCCATTTGGGTTTTGGTGTTTTTTACTCACCCAATATTTTGTAATTCTTTGCCCAGATCTGTTGGAAAAGGAAGACCTGGGGATGCGCATCGGCAAATTATCAACTCACATTGATGAGATCAAGGGTGAAATCTACCACGCCGTACACGAGAAGTATGCCAACTACAGACCCACCAGGGACTCCACCCAGGAGCTACACAACAAGGTGCAGACACTGTCCACTGAGATGCAGACTCTCAGCAATAAGATCAAGGTATGTCATAGTCTTAAGGCCCGAGTAACACATTCACGGTTGGACCTACGAATATCCACCGTTTACCAAGAATCAATTGATCACAATGAACCGTCAAGACTCATGGAGAAATTGACTTTCTAAGAATGCACTAGGGTTTCAGGATGGATAGCCACGACTGTAGGAGGTTTCTTTACGAATACACCACGGTTTCTTGAATGGATTGTTTATGAATATTGACAGTATTACCAAGAATAATGATGTTAATGCCACAGTTGTCTGCGATTGGGCCACGGATGACCAAGGTTCTCCTACAAATAAAGCATAGTCATATTCGTAGTACAACCTTAGCAGAATTCTAGCATATCTGGGCATAACCGTAGGACATTTGTAGTGAATTCGTAGAGATTTCCACCACGAATGAGCTACAAATCTCCAAGAATATGTATGAATAGCTACAAATAACACTACGAATTAGTTCGGTTGTTCTATGGATGTCCCAGGGTTCTACTGCGCATTGATTTTCATGACTATTCACCACGGAAGTTTGGAACAGTTAAGAACTTCGTAGCCCCTCCATGAATACCAAAGGAAGTTGACGGATAACCACGCAGATATTTAAGATGAATGGTTATCATATGTAGTATGTGTGGGACTGAAAGTGAACAGTAAATTGCCTGCAGAAGTCACGTTTGTGCACTAGTTTCCCCCATTTTGTTTTTGTTTTTTCTTGGGGGGGGTATTAGGAGTTGGCCTAGACGTTTTGATGGTCGGTGATATTGGTTGGTCGTGAGTGAGAGCTCCCTCTTGCGGCGGGTTATCGCTGCGGGGGTTATCGCGTATCAAACCATAATAACGTCTAACCCCTAGACTAGGTATGTGGGGCTGTCTGATGAGACAGGCATTGGTGTCTGTGGTTATAACTTATTGCACCATTGGTAAAAACCTAGCCTATTCTATGGCCACACACTGGAGTAATCTCTGTGCTAAGGGCCATACCAATGTGAGCACAGCAAGTTGGTAAAATGATGCATTTTTTTCATGGAAATATTTTGGCCTGATACTTGGCATAGGGGTTCTTTTTACCCAAGCGTCCCACTTTGTGCCGAAACCTCACAGGTGTGCACTGGAACGTAAATTGTCAAACAATTGGCCATGCACAACAGCCAATTCAAGATCAACACACAAGTGTGGCCTGTATGACTCCACAGTGTGTGCAAAAGCAGAATGTTACCCGGAGGTGAGTGGAGGCAATTTTGACCTTTTAACCCTAGAAAATCCATCAGCCGTGCCTGTGCATAAAAACAGCCAGTGCGTCTTATCACGTCCTCTGATGCAAACTGGTTAAGATAATACTTTTTATTGTCAAAAGAAGTCAATTTGGTATCTTTATTTTTTGTTGGTATTCAGGGAGACATCAGTTCCCAGCTCAACAGCTCCACCAGTGATCTTCAGGACCTTACCAGACAGTTGGAGAAAACTAACGCTATCATTGATGTGCTACTGTCACAATGCAAAGTAATGATCAACTCCGTATGGCAAGACAGAAACGTTTCCCTAACAGGAACAGGGTGTTTGTCTTCTTGGGCAAGACACTTTACCGCAGTTGTCTTTCTCAAGGTGTACACAAATGGTTGCCTGTGAGGGTTGAGACCATATGTGACGCGATCAAGCTAAATGAATCATTTGTCGGGAACTTTCATTTGGAGATTCGGGCCAAAATAGATGCACTTCATCACATCACATCTCTTGGTGTTCCGATTTCCATAACTTTTGAACTAAAGATGGTACCAGCATGCGGTTTTTACACCAGTAATGCTGAGATTGTGCTCTTTTCAAATCTGTAAAAAAAATTGACCAGGGTCAACAAACGACTCATTTAGCTCGATCGCATCATATATTGGACTGATCTTAGGCTGTTGCAGAAAACTGGTCTTGCAGCCTGGTGGACAGGGGTGATATTTATGACGCACTTTGAGCCATTATAGTGTAAAGTTCCTATAAGAAAAGGAAAAATCAAGTTATTGAACTCACAAACTGGAGTTTATAGCGATGTTTATAACCAGCATGACTCATGGACAGAGGGTAAGATTTTGATTATTTATGGAAACTTTGGAGTAAAATTACAATGAAGACGACAAAACCCAACATGACAGACCGTGCGACAGACCGTGCGTGTGCAAAAAAGTTGATTTCAATGGCATCAGCTGAAAAAATATCTAAAAAAACTGCATTTTCTACCAAAAGATACTGTTCAAAATAAAACATATGGTCATATTTGTTTTTGTTGTGCTGAAGGAACACTTAATATCTTTTGGTGATCCATGGACAGACTTTTAAAAGTAAGGTTGTGTTTAAAATTACATAAAATACATGAGTGATTTGAATGATTGTTGTACTAAAAGAAAACTTATGAATTGGGCTTTCATATCTTAGAATTTGAAAGTGCTACATGCAGAACTTCACTAAAACAATGCAATTTTTTTTTTTTTCTTTCACCCACCCTGTCTGTACTTGACCTAAACTAAACAGGGGCTGTCACTACATAATCGCCATTTTAAGCACCACATTTTTATCCTGTGATTCCTTAAGGATGAATCATTTTAGATCATGGAATCATAGACGGACGTTGGAAATCATTGTTGACAAGTAAGTTTGTCTTATAATTTCATTCTCTTCATAGTAAGAAACCCCACTTTCCTGACGATTCTAATGATTTGTCCGTCCGTTTTGTTTGACAGGTTAACAGTTTACTGACAGACTTTCAAAGCTTCGTCCAGAACAGTGAGTTCCTGCAAGCAGCCGATGCTGTCAATGAATTGGTAAGAGACAAATGAAAGTAATTGTCAAATCAAATTAAGATGAGACTTGGTTCCTATTTTCCAAATTTGTCTTCTAAAAGGAATGCAAACTTCTTTTCTGTACGAAGTTTACTTTAAAATTACAAATTTCAGGTTGTTTTTGTAAACTTTGAATCCACTGTAATCAAATTGTACTTTGCATATTTTGATTTTTTCTTTCCCTGCAGAAATCTGATTCGGATGTTCTCATCGAAGACGGATACTGTGAGCTGAAAATTGTCAAGGCTCTGAGGGTAAGGAGCTTATCCGTTGTCTGTTTACTTGTAGCAGGCCAGTGAGGATGCAGAAAGTGGATTGATCTTGTTAGAATCACATTTACATCGCGTCAACACTGCTTGTGAAATATTGTCCAATTACAGATATACGAATAGACATGGAATGCGCAAAATCTGAGACAAACAAAACGTAGTGTACAAATATTCCATGGGGTTGTCTAAAGGGGCGTGGCTAACTCGCAAACGGTGACAGGTCAGTTGGGATGACGTTGTTGAATTTTGCCAGCCAGAGAGAGACATTGCTAATAAGAGTTTTTTTTCCCCCGTTTTAGTCTGAGCTGCGAGTGAACCAAGAGACGCTGCTGCATCATCTAGGAGAGGCCTGGTCTGCCATGACTGTCTGGACTATACCCCATGCCAAAGAACCTGTCACCTTGACCAACGTCAGCCAAGTCCAACTCAAACTAGGTAGGTCAACAAGACGTGGGCGCTATGGCATGTGGGCTGGAGTATCATATTCAGGATCTGCGGGTAATTCTGTAGGTTGTGGGTTCGAGTCCAGCCTGGGGTCGTGGTGCGTGTGTCGTGCACATGACATTTTGACACTCATTGCTTCTCTCCACCCAGGAGTAAATTTTGTTTTACACTTTTTTTCACCAGTTCATAGTGAAAATCCTGCAGTTACTGTCAATGCCATGAATGAGGTTGGAATTCTGAAGAACAAAATGCAAGTTTTCGGTGAGTTTCTTGAATGTTTGTCCTCTCTTTGTGACCGTTTTTCAAAACCAAGCTTTGATAAACCAAAAATGCATTGACGGAAGGAATGTATAACATCACATTAGAAACAGAATTCGCTCATTTTATCCTTTCATTCCTAAATTTTCCATTTTCAGGAAAGAAACTGATGGAATATATTCTGAAGCCGGTTGTGACATTGTCAAATGTTGCGCCATCAATTAACGCAGCTAAAAAGCTACTGTCATTCTCCATTAAGTCTTAATTTACAGGTGCATTTTGGTTTCTTTTACAAGAACAAGAAGAAATGATTATATTACAAATTATGCAAGTTTATAAGTTCATAAATATACAACGTTTGTTTAGGCATGGAAAAGTTATACTGGGTGAATAACAGCATAAATTGTAGGCATAACTTGTATTAAAGCTCCTTGCTGCACTGACTGCTCATGATCTCCCTATAATGGACACATCCTCTGTTAGCAGAGAATAACGTGTTAAGCACTAGGACAAATTCCATAGAGCTGCTTTTAAGCAGAAAAGATTGCTTAGAAATTTTGTTTGCGAAAAATCAGCTGGGAAGCGAAAAATCAGCAGGGAAACGGTCCAAGCAATGACATTTTGACTGACAACCTGTTGTTCCTAATAACAACTTGTATTTTTAAAGCACTACATCATTATTACCCTGCTAATTGGGCCAAAGAAACATTTCAAAGACATTCTCAGCCCCCTGGGGAGTGTGTAGCTCGATGCTGCCTTTTCGGCACAATGCAGCTAAAATCAATCACAATAACCACCTCTGCCCTCACAGGTACCCATTTACTCCTGGGTGGAGAGAAGCAATGAGTGACAAAGTGCCTTGCCCAAGGGCACACGCACCACAACCCCTGGCTGGACTCAAACCCATAACCTGCAGAATTACCCTAAGACCACGAATTCAATGCTCCAGACCACGAGGCCACAGCACTCCTCAGCAAAACCTTTTTTTGTGCGTTTAGTGAATGAACGTGCTAACATCTTCTTTGCAGTCGCAGTCAACCACCGTTGGATTCAAGGTGCTACCCAAGAGCTCTGAGGAGGCGTCCGATCCTGTAGCTGTGTACAAGAGCACACTGGCAATACTGAAAGCACTGAGTGGGCCGTTACTTAGCCTCAAGACAGAGGGTAAAAACGGAGATGAGAACACTACGCTGATGGCTATGCTAGGTAGGGACAATCTCATTAGCAAATTGGAAACAGCTTTTGTTTTGTTTTTAAGAATTTTTTTTTCTTCCTTTTATTCTTTTCCCCAATTTTGTCTATATTTTGTGACAACATTTATTGACCAAATTATTGTTGAAAAGCATACTTGGTTTAAAGATAATAATAGCACTAAACTCCCTGTGAAATTATTCTTTCTGGCATGCTGTCATTTTGAAGAAAACAATATAAGAAGGTCATTTCCAAAGATGAGTCAAGTGACGCATTTTTGGAAATTTCTGTTTGTAATAATAATAATAATAACAGGTTCTTATATAGCGCTTTTAACTAAGATCAAAGCGCTTTACATTATTATTACCCCTGATCATTGGGCCAATTAAACATTCCATATACCATCTCAGCTCCCTGGGGAGTATACAGCTCGATGCTGCCTGTTAGGCGCAAGGAAGCTAATTCAATCACAATAACCATCTCTGCCCTCACATGTACCCATTTACTCCTGGGTGGAGAGAAGCAATGAGTGACAAAGTGCCTTGCTCAAGGGCACACGCACCATGACCACGCCAGGACTCGAACCCACGACCTGCAGCTTTACCCACATACCACGAATCAGTGCCCTTAACCACGAGGCCAGTTGGTTTGTAGTTGTGTTTGTAGTTGGTTTGTAACACGCACACGCTCGCGCGTTGTTGCTATTACTCGTCAGGTTCAGTTGCGTGACATCTCATAGCTGCAATCAGCTGAATGAGAATGTGTCCCGGATACTGATTTCGGGTGCAATTCAAAATATGAATGGGCAACTTTTGAATTGAAATGAAGATCCTAGAATATTGCAAAGCCTCAAATCTTACTTTCACATGATCTACTCTGCCTTTAATTGTAAGAGATCTTTCTGTCTCTGATAAAACAAGTGTCGGTGTGTACCTGACACCATGCTGGAGCAAAATTTGTCCTTAAGAAAGTTTCTTATTAAAGAGATCTTTCTATTCCAGGGTTTATTGCAGAAACTGCTTCTCCGCTACTGACCTACGCCAGAGATGTCAATGTCTATTTTGCTAACGAAAAGGTATAAACAATATATATTTTTTTAATGTCTATTATTTTTAAAAATCTTGTGGGAACATTTCTTGAATGGCAACAGTTGGACTGTTTGGTCCCTTCTGAATCTTTGGTTCATCTCATTCACATATGACCCTCCAGCAAACCAGTCGGAAATTGTACGGCCGTATTTTGAAATACAACCTGTAATACATAGAATGTTGATGATATTTGGGAACTGAAAAAATCAATAGCTCCGTCAGATTTTGTCCGATTCCCATATTCTATACATCATTGGAAAGTTCATTTAATGTCCTTTCCAATAATCTCAAAATCCTGGTTTTCAAAAATTGGTTCTGGTTTTGTGCTGGAGGGTGACACAATTATTGTGGAATGCATCAATAAACTGCTCTGAACTTTGGGGTGAAAAGCGTGTTTGCCTTCATGACAAGGACATTCTAGTCTCTCGAAAGCCTATGATGAAAACTTTTTGTAAATTTTCCCAGAGTGGACTTAAACACAAATGCTCCTGCTTAATGCAATACTACAGCAATCCACCATATTCTGCATATTTTGAATCTTCATCAATGTTAACCTCTTGTGACTGGACTTGTGACTGGTCTTGTGACTGGACTTGTGACTGGACTTGTGACTGGTCTTGTGACTGGACTTGTGATTTACTTGTGGCTGAACTTGTGATGGATTTGACTTCATCCCTGACAGATTTATGACAGATTTTTGTTCGGTTTATTTTATTTTTGGAAAGTGTCAAGAGCTGATAGTTGAAGCCCGCAAGCTGACGAAGAGAGAGCTGCACAATACAAAGAGAGTCGGTACAATGAAGGTTGACAACAAGAACGTCAAAGAACAAACACAAGATGCCAAGGTTAGAATTTGTTGGAAATTGTGCGCTTCAAGACTAAACTGGATTTGATTTTGTCATTCTAATCAGCCTTTAAGAGTCCTTGCAAGTTTAAAACATTAATTGAAATATTTATTGTTGAAATGTGTTGAATGAACTTATCGTACTTATCGCCACCCATGCCAACTGCCTGATGTGATGTGTTTATGCTATTCTCACCATAGTAAAGTAAAGTCTGTCGTGAGCCAATATGGCCCATCGGGTCGGGCCAGCCGTTATCTATGGTTTCCTTGGTATGAAATGATTCAATATTTCTACTCCCCTTGGATGGGATGCTAGCCCATCGCAGGTTACTCCCCAGCTGATGCTAGTACCCCTTTACATCCTGGGTGGAGAGAGGCAAGTAGGGGTAAAGTGGCTTGCCCAAGGACACAACATATGGCCAGCAGCTGGATTCAAACCTCTGAGCCTCTGATCAAGAGTCACGAACCCAAACCACTTTGCCACACTCCCCTGTGTTGGAATTTGTCCCATATCATGTGAAAAAGCAAAAGTGCCTTTTTTTCCATGCAAATTGAAATGTGTTGAACATTTTATAGGTCAGTGTACACAATATTCAACTAAAGGATTCCTGAAAATGTCTTATTTTTATGTTTGCAGTGCCATCCAACTGTTCTACACAGTGCGAAACATGTTTGAGATATTTTGTGATGTCGTACCCACATACCACAGAGATAGTCTGGTGAGTCAACTTCTAGACTTTTTCAAACAGTCATCTGGTATTTCACTGTCGTCTGCTTGATGAGCCAAAAAAAAAAAAAATGCACAGAAGCAAATGTTTCCATGTACCTTTAACAGGCATGCAACTGGGAATTTTGAAAAAAACGAGGAAATTCCAAACCACACATGACTTTGTTCAGTGTTTTTCAATTTTTAATGGCATTATTATTATTATAATTATTCATGAGAAGTAAATAACGAGGAAATCAGTGGATCCAAGGAAAAATGCTTTAATCAGTTTGCGCCAGAGGCCGATGACAGATAAACACGCAGGGAGAGAGTCCGGAAATATCTGTCAGCGACCCACTCGCAGCAAGCAAGGCTGGAAATATGAGTGTGCTGCCCGAGGGTGATGGCTTCAACCGGCCTGACTTGAAGTGGAGTGAAAATATATTCCGCGCCTCGTTCCGTTCTTGTCAAAATAATCCCAGCGTGAACAGGTTAAAGCAAGGATGAAAACAACAACCAAAGTAATGTTGATATTGTCTTACAATTTCTTTAAAGAAATCTTAACTTCTTTATTATTTTTGCAAATTTTTCTTGTGAAACAGCAAAAGCTACCCCTGGTGTGCGCACTCCACCACAACAACTGCTTGTACATCGCCCATCACCTGCTGACGCTGGGCCATCAGTATCGTCAATCCTTACCCCCACCCCTCTGTGACGACACATCCACATTTGTCGACCTCATCCCTGTCTTCAGGAAGCTGGCATCTGAATGTTTCTTGGTTCAAATGGTAAGAAACAGCAGCCTATTTTGTCTCATTTATACCCAGTCACCACAGCCTCCAGGCAGTAGATTTCTACTGAACCTCCTGATATGTCAGTAGAACTAAACTTCATCACCAAGTTTATTTGATTTGCGTAGAACTTTTATCCCCTTGTGAACCCTAACCCTGTCAGATGCAACACAGTGCATCAGGTGCAAACATCTGTGGGACATTGGTGCACTGAGCCTTCAAAACCAGTGCAAAAACAGCCAATTCTGAAATGCCACAGTTGAATCCTGGTGCAGTTGGTGACCACAGACTCTGAGCCAGTTTAGCCTCAGAAGCGTAAGCAGAAGTCAAACCTTTTATTAATCTCCATTTAGTTAACTTTGTAAAATCGTAGTGGCTATTGTTACGACAGCCGTAATGCAATTTTCAAATACTATCGTTACGGAATTTGAAAAAAAAAATGTTATAGAGATCTTAAGTTTCAGGTTTAAATCAAATTTTTCTTTTTATTTAAGTAGATTTCATTTTCTTTCTTGAAAATTGGAGGATTTGTTGAAATAGGGAAATAAAGTCATAGAACCATTTTGTCGATTCCAACAGCCAAAGATCGTGACATTGAATACTGCATTGACCTATCGCCGTTTGCAAGTTAGCCACACCCCTTCA